ACTTTGAAGATAATCAAAGTTATTAAGATTGTTAAAATTAATCTTATTTTTATTTATAATCCCACTTAATGCATTTCTATCATGTGTCAATCCTTGGGCTAGGCACTTCACCTACATTTAATGTGTTTTTGTTTGTTTGTTTGGTTTTTTTTTAAGAGACATTTTCAGTATAGGGCGCATGTGCTCACCAGAAAGAAAGTGAGAGACAGAGAAAAATCACCCCCCAGGAGGGAATGGCCATGTCAGAATCCCTTCTCCTCCATTCTCTTCTCAGGATTTTGGACATGCACACACCTGCATGCCAGGCATGAGTTTTAAGCCACTGGGTCTGGGACTTGAACCAATATGTGGGAGTCCAGCAATGTAACCATTACACTATCTGCTGGTCCCGCCTACATTTAATCTTTACAATTAAAGATTGAGGTTGGTATTACTAGTCCCACTTTTCAGATAAGAAAGTAGACTTAGAAAGAGTCTTTGGCTTACAAATAATTTTAAGATCATTGAGTATAAACACTTCATGGATGGGAACTTGCACCCTAGAGAGTTTAAGAAACTCTCCTGAAGTCCAAGTGAACTAATGACTGAGTTGAGACCACAACTCTGGCCCCCAGGATGTAAGCGAAACTCTTTCAATTAAACAAGGTAGTTCTCAGGTCAACTTTTCTCCCAAACAAAAGACCGAAACTCTAAGACATCTAACCTCTGTAAAACGAATATAGCAATAGAATTCATAGCATGCTATGAAGATTACTGAGAGCAAATGAATATAATGGGACATGTGCAATGCCTAGCACATACCTAGGATTCATCATATGGTGGCTGTTATTATTATCATCATTATTGTTATTGATTTATAAACAGGAAAACTAATCCAAGCAATCATTGAGCACCTTGATGATGTGAATCATCCCTTAAACTCCGCACCATACTGGAGTCTATATCACTTTACCTATTCAGATCAGTCTGAAGAACTGGCATGACATATTATGGGCTAGTCAGCCTCTTCTTTACTGTAGCTCCAATTGTTTCACCAAAGTAATGTTTGCATGCCCCTGGATATATTTAAGATGATTCCAGATGACACAGGTTTATATATTTAAATAGTTATGAATTTATTTTAACAAGTATTAGAAAAATATAACTAACAGATAAAACCACTGATAGTAAATAATCTTGCTTCGGGTGATATAAATTTAAACTTATGCTCAATTTTAAGAATATCAGGGGAATAAATAATAGAAACAGCAACATGTAATTACAACAAGAATTGTGAAAATGAACTATAAATACAGTTTGGAGAGCACAAATTTAACACACCTAGAGAACAATTATAGGGGTCTAGCAGTTCCTAATAGCCTTGTTTATTATTAATCTTTTTATATTACCAATATTCTCTCTTCTGAGGTAGCTTAGCCTGTGTTCTTCTTTACACTCCATGATTCTCTCCACATTCTAAAACTGTCTAGGAATTATCAACATAAAGAAAGTGTGGAGAAGAATTCCCTTGAAGTGTTGGATCACACATAGTCTCCTTTGGGGAGATTACCATCTCCATTCCATTCCAGACTCCCAAAACATCCTCTTCAAACCTCTATCCTTGCATTTAGCACGTTGTATCAAAATTAAATACTCCATGCTTCTCTTTCCTGCTTTTCTGGGGTTCCTCAAGGGCAGGAATGTGCCCCATTCCTCTTTGCATCCCCAATGCCAAGTATAATAATTGGCAGAGGAAAAGTACCCAATTAACGTTTACCTGAAAAATGAGTACCAACCCCAAACTGCAAAAATTAAAAATAATGTTTCTTCTTGTTGGCCCCTGAAAACTTGCTGCCTATCCAATACATAGGGCAATCATGAAAGAGCTTTGTATTTATTCTGTTTTAGCTAAGAATTTAGTGGCTATGAAATATTTCTCAGCTATTCCAATGTGGGAGGCGCAAGAGACGAATACGTTGGAGAAAGGGTAGCATGTGTTCAGGCTTCAGAGGGTACAAACTTCTCTTCCTTGTCACTGGTAACCTGGTTTGAACTGATAACTTTTAATTGGGACAAAGCCTTGGGGAAAAAAAAAAAAATCCCTCCCAAATGCAAATGCTTCCATCTGTGATCCTATTAAACATTTGCTCATTCAGCAGAGCTTTGCCAAACTGCCACATTATCTCTTCTTGACAATTAACATTTGATCCAGAAACTGAGAAATGGAGGAAAAAAATATAGATGATAGGACTCATTTTAAATAAACTGAGTATTAAATAAAACACAAACCTGCAACTTTATTAAGATCCTGAATAACTTGCCAATAATCTTTTTTTTTTCCCCCTCCAGTGTGATGAATCACTAGACTATAACCTTTCCATCAGGGCAGAAAAGAAGAGTGTACTGAGAGATTGAAGAGAGTTGGGGTCTACCTCTAATTTTGCTGCTGGGTAGGTCTTGGGCAAGGCAGTGAATCTACTCAGACTTCAGTTTCTCTTTAAATTAGGGTTCGAACTAGATTCTCCTAGGGCCTTTTGTTCCTATTTTTCTTTCTTTCTTTCTTTCTTTTTTTTTTAAAGCTGATTTATTTCTTGCTTCCATGAGCAAAAAAAGAGAGAGCATGATTGAGAGAGTGCACAGCCCCAGCAGGATCATGATGAACAGATCCACCTCCAGCTTCAGGCAGCTCCAGATCATGGGCACACATGTGCTCGATGTGAACCCAGAAACTTCCCAAGTGGGTCAACCTCACAGAGTGTGTATGTATTACTGTCGCTACCCCTAGGAGGAGCCTTTCTAAATCTAATAAACTACCTTCAATTCATTCATACATTTAAAAAAATATTTATTGAACTCCTACTATATGGCAGGGACTGTGTTAGGTACTTGTGGATAACAATTAGCAAGATAGGCAAGATAGATGTGTTTTACTGGAACGTAAAGTCCAAGGTTGAGGGTAAGTATTAGACTAATGATTATGCATAAGCATACAAATAATTACTTAAGTGTGGTTATGCTAAGTATAAGGCAGATGGGCAGTGTAATATCAACATACATAGCAAGGAGGGCTAGAATAGTCCCAGGGGACAGAAGACGCATCCTTGAAAAAGTGATATTTGACAGCTGGCATCTGAAGGGTTGAGCAGGAGTGGCTCAGAGGAAAGGTGGGCCCAAGCAGAGGAAAGAAGGTGGATATTTGAGGAACTAAGAGTAACTAGTGAAGGGCTGGGCAGTCAAGTGAGTTGAGACTAAACAAGCCAGCTCCCGTCTACATGGGGCTTTACAAGCCAAATGAAATTTAACCCCTTTCAGTGGTAAAAGGAAGCCATTAATGGAGATGATATCATTGGAAGTGAAAAGATTTATAGGAACTGATTAAGAGAATGCTCTTTTCTCTGGCCATACCTCAAATTGTGATAAGACCTGGTGGGTAAGATCTTAACTTGGATACTTGTGGATAAACTAATGCAAAAGAAATACTCATATTATAATCTGGGACTTCTTTGGGGTTCTTGAATAATTCTGTATGGTTCATTTTCTCATACTAGTTAAGCTCTTTGTATGGCCTTAGTTTGCCCATTATTGCAATATTTCAGGAAAGAATATGCCATTGGAACTTTAAGCAAATCCTTGCTAATGAGGTTACGATTCCAACTTTCTTAGCAGGCAATGTCACCTTTTGTAAGAATAGTCATCGACAAGGTTTTGAAGGCAGTCAGCCCCTTGTTTGTCTTTTGGACTCTACAAAGCTCAGTTTTATTCCTCTTCTCTTTGTAAAGAATCAGATCGCTTCCGTTTAGAAGTTGAGGTGAAATAAACTCATAGTGTTCTCCTTTTCAGGGGAGCTAGCTTTCTAGATTCTCCTATTGCAGACTGAAAGGCTTTGTACTCTATTTTAAAGACTCTCAAAAATCAGCCAGCAGGTGGGGAAGAAATTGTGTGCATCTGAGTGGAGGAAGGTTGACTTGAGAAACTTTTCAAGTGTGCCTGTGTACATTATCATGACACATTCCACTAATCAGGAAGGAGGCTCGGAGATTGAGTCAAGTAATAATTCTTTAACCCAGAATTTGGAGGCTTATATTTTATTCTCTCTAAATTAAAATATATGTTTATTTGGGTGTGGTGGCACTTGCGCTATGGTAAATGAAAATATATGTTTATCCTTTTCTATATTAAAAACTGCAACTCTTAATGTTATTCATTGTTGGCATTCATTTTGTTTTTTTAAGTTTTTTGCCATAGGGTGTGTGTGCTTGCCGGAGAGAGAAAGAGATAGTGAGAGGAAAAGTGAGAAATCACTCAGGGGGGATGGCTAACCACAATCCATTCTCCTCCATTCCCTTTTGGGGATTTTGGGTATGCACACAGAGTGATTTTCAAACCACCAGGTCCGGGGCTCAAACTGTAGTCTGCCATGCAGGAGTTCCACACCTTAACCACCGCGCCACCTGCTGACTGCCATTGTTGATATTCTTGATGACTGACTACATACAAGTCAATGTAATTTTTGGACCTGAACTTTTTCTAGGATTGGTTCAATATTCATAATAAGTATAATAAAGTACCACAATTGCCATTTGTACTTGGTCACTTTAATCATCTAATTTATATCCAATTAGGCAGCTAATGAAAAAGAAGAGGAGGTGAAAAATAGATTATATAAAGCTTAGGTTCTTTATTCCACCTAAGAGCTTTGGAATTATGACATTGGTTTACTAACAGAGACTGGAGAAGAAAGCCCAGCTGTGTCTTATGTTCTGCTTTACCGTGAAGATTAGTCAACTGGCCATTAGTTTGGAAGGTCTGTTGGAGGATTATGGTAATGAGAAGCTGCCTATCCCGAACCTGAAGTGAAAGCAGGGGTGTCAGAGTCATCATATTCTGTTGTCTGAGGCCAAACTACAGTAAGGGTCATCAGCATAAGGAGAAAATGGCATAGTTTACTGTTTAAGAACAGAGATTTTGGGGGCCAGTTTGCTGCCTCATAGCTGTGCATGACCCTGGACAATATTACTTACCCGTCTGTGCTGGAGTTTCCTTAGTTATAAAACAGGGATAATAATAATACCATGAGCCATCAAGAACAACGTAGGACTTAGGTGAGCTGAATGCGGCACTTGCCTAGAGCAAAAAATGGAAGGAAAAGCCATTAGACTCAGTAATCAAGATTTTAAAATATTTTATTGTACTATCTTTCAACAAAAATAAAATGTAATACAAAAAAAATTGTGATGAACAAAACTTCAAAAGGAACTTTCTGTGGATGAATGAATACACTGACCTTGGGAACCAGCAGTTAGCATAATAGCTATGTAGCTGGACTCCCATGTAGTCGACCACGGTTCGTGTCCCGGACCCGGTGGCTTAAAACCCACACCGGGCGCATGTGCATGTGTGCCCAAGATCCCGAGAGGAGAATGGAGGAGAAGGGATTGCGGTGTGACCATCCTCCCTGGTGGTGATTTCTTGCTTTCTGTCTCTATGTCTCTCTCTGTCTGTCTGGCGAGTGCACGTGCCCTATAGTGAAAAACCTCTCAAAAAATAAATAAATAAATAAATACACTGACCGTTAAGTCTTCCTGAGGTTTTTAACAGAAGGTTGTACAGTCACACACTCAGCCTTTGTTTTTTGGCAGTCATTTCAAACTTCCAGAATATTTTGCTATTTGGGAAATATAATGTAGCTGGACTCCCATGTAGTCGACCACGGTTCGTGTCCCGGACCCGGTGGCTTAAAACCCACACCGGGCGCATGTGCATGTGTGCCCAAGATCCCGAGAGGAGAATGGAGGAGAAGGGATTGCGGTGTGACCATCCTCCCTGGTGGTGATTTCTTGCTTTCTGTCTCTATGTCTCTCTCTGTCTGTCTGGCGAGTGCACGTGCCCTATAGTGAAAAACCTCTCAAAAAATAAATAAATAAATAAATACACTGACCGTTAAGTCTTCCTGAGGTTTTTAACAGAAGGTTGTACAGTCACACACTCAGCCTTTGTTTTTTGGCAGTCATTTCAAACTTCCAGAATATTTTGCTATTTGGGAAATATAAGAATTTTCAAGATTATTCAGCCTGAACTATGTTATATAATTTACTTATATTATTTTGTTTTGCCTCTCTCACTAGAATTTAATTTCTGCGAAGGCATGGATTTTTCTAAAAACTGCTAATGCTGAAGGCATTTTAAATTTACACAAAGGCTACAAAGACAGTACAGTTAATTCCCCTGTCCTGCTCACCTACCCTTCTCTAATGTTAGCTTCTAATATTAATATAACTAGGTACATTTTATCAAAACCAAGAAATTAGTATTGCTGATACTGACACAATACCATCAGCCAAGTTAGACTTTAGATTTCTCTAATTTTTGTATTCAAATTATTTTTCTGTTTCAAGATGCAATTCAGGATAACATGATGCATTTAGTCATTATGGCTACATCATCTCCCCTTATTTGTGGCAGTTTCCCTATCTTTCCAGGTTTCTTATGACTTCGACACTTTTGAAAGATACTGGTCAGATATTTTGTCAAAATGTTCCCTCGATTTGTGTTTGTTTGATAAAAATTATTCCCTGATGTTTCCTTGGCATCTAGAATGGTGTGTGGCATGTAGACATATCACAATATCTGTTAATTATTCGAGACAGAACTTACATGCATCTACCTGATGATGTGGCCAAATAATGTAGTATACAAACTTAAACAGTCATACAAAGTTTTTCGGTTGTCCTTTTGTTGTTTTTCAAAGAAAATGCTTGTAAATGGCTTCTAAAGAAAGCTAACTGCTCTAAGGAATCCTCTTACATCCTAAGGTAAAGTGAGAATCCTCTTTTTAACTGTCATTGGCTATCAGAAACACAAAAAATGTGAGAAAGCTAGTTCTAAGTGCAGTGTACATGATTTGAAAATACTCTTTAGTTTCTCTACCAACCATGGCTTACACTTAACTAAGAGTTAAGAATTTGCAGAAAAGCAGCAGTTGGGTCCTATTGTGCTCTATATCTCTAGCATTCAACAATTGCCTTGCCCCTTGGGAGTCTTGATAAAGATAATCTACCCCAGTCTACACTACTGAATATTGTGTATAAGGAGGTTTATTCTGGGCCCTGGGCAGTCACTCCTCCTAGGAATATCGCAGAAATTTCGCAGGTTAATTTTTGTTCAAACAGGCATTCACATTCTAGCTCTACTAGCACAAGTTTCTTGAGCCCCCGGGTTGCATTTTCTTTATGTATAATTGGAAAGTCGTTTCACCTTTGTTGTCAAGGATGAAACAAAGTAGCTTGTTTTCAAAGTGCCTAACAGGAGTCCAAGCACACTGAGGATGGCCAATACAGAGTCCTTCTTATCTCCTGTCTTCTCAGCTTCTCATCCACACTTGTGGTGACCAGAGGCCACCAGTACAATAATCACTGCTTTCAAGGAGGAAGAACCCTGGGAATAGCCAGAAGCAGTAAAATGTGTTTGTTAATTTGCCATTTACAGGTTGCATGACCTTAGCCAAATTTTACCGGTAGTTTTTCTTTGTATGATGGTGATTCCAATAATTACCTCAAAGGGATGCTGTGAGGGGTAAATAGGAACACATTACATTAAGTGCTTGCGACTCTGTCTGAAACATGTATTCATAACTCCTAATAAATACTACCTGCTATTATAATGGATTTCTATATTAGATGCACAGGGCAGGTGGTGGTAAGACAGATATGCCAGGGAAAAGAGGAAAATAAAACCAGATTTATTATGAAGGAAATAAGAAAGAATGAATGATGTAATAAGAGAATAATTCTGTCTGACTCAATAGCTACTTTAGAACTATCTCTAAACCTTTCATAATTTTAACTTAATATTTAAAAAATTTTAAATTTTTTAGAAAACTATTTTTTTTCCAAGAATGGGGTAAGAGGAAGAGAATATTGCTTGATTATTGCAGCATTTTCAAAGGTTGCAACATGGATTAGCAAGTCTTTTCTATGAAGGGCCAGATAGTAAATATTTCAGATTACAAGGACTACATCTAGGCTCTGTCCTTCTTCTTCTTCTTTTCTTCTACTTCTTATTCTCTTCCTCTTCTCCTCTTCTTCTCCTCTCCTCCTCCTCCTCTTCTTCCTTCCTCCTCCTCCTTCTCTTCTCTCTCTCTCTCTTTCTCTCTCTCTCTCTCTTTCTCACATTACATTTTTAAAAATGTGAAAATCATTTTTTGGTCCACTGGTCAAGGCTTGCTGACTTCTGGTAGAGCCAATTCCTATATTCTAGAGAAGTCTGAAGAAAAATGGAATGAGGAGCTGAGCTTAAACTTGAAATAGTATGGATTTGCTAATAAGGGAGACAGTGAGAATTACAGAATGGGCAGTTGGACCCCTTGTCAAACCCCGAGAAGAACAGAAGCAAGGAAAATGCACAGTCTAAATCCAAGACGTAATGAAACATCCTTCCATGTGTGGATGGGTTGGGACTTACTTGTCTCAAAAGCAGCAAAGTAGCAAGAAATTTGTTTTACCAAATCTGCTTGTGACTATTGGAAGATAATTCTCCATGGATCTCTTGGGTTTCTGCACATCTTGGAAGCAAGGCACTCACTGCTCTTTTGTTCCAGACTCTCTTTTGAAGGACATTTGTGTAGCGCACAGCGTTGTAAGATAGAGATAGTGTCTCCCTCAGGAGCAAAGTCCAGACATGCTTATTGCCTATCATCAGGGATCTGGGTCCTCTAAAGTAAGGGCTCTTCTCCTCTAACACATCCACTTGCATGTGTGAGTACCATCTGGCCCTCTTCATGATGCAAAATAAATGCTGGGAGAAATATACTGTCCTTTAGATGTTATATAGCAGTCTCACATCAACACCCAGGGAACCTTGGCAGGTTTGTTTACTTCTTAGCTTGCAAGTAGGGAATAATCTCAAACCACTTACAGTTTTTGACACTGATAGAAATGAAATGAAGATGAAGAACAAACTAAAGCAAGAGAACCAGAAAACATTTTTTAAAAAGTGAGTTTTAAAGAGAATATTTAGGGCCCAGTCATGGTGGCATGCTATGATGCTCCTTCTCCACAGGCTACGATGACGTTGAAGGCAAGGTTCAATTCCTGGACCAACCTAAAGTCTAGACACAGTGGAAGCACCTGTAATCCCTGTGACTTGAGAGGCAGAGGCAGAAGAATCACAAGCTCAGGACTGCCTGAGCAACATAGTTAGACCCTGTCTAATGGAGCTGGGCATGATGGTCTATACCTGCCAGCTGGGAGTCTGAGGCAGGAGGGTCATGATATGGTGAGACTCTCTCTTTAAAAAAAAAAAAAAAAAGGGACCAGCAGATGGCATAATGGTTACATCACTGGACTCCCATGTAGTTCATTGCTGTTCAAGTCCCAGCTTATAACTCATGCCAGGTACATGCTCAAGATCCCAAGAGGAGAATGGAGAAGAAGGGATTGCAGTGTGGCCATCCCCGGGGTGTGCTTTGTCACTTTTCATCTCTGTCTCTTTCTTTCTCTCTGGTGAGTGCATGCATTCTATAGCAAAAAAAAAAAAAAAAAAAAAAACTCTCTTAAAAAAGAAATATAAATTTTAAACTTTAAAGTATTTAGCAAAGTCTTAAAGTAGTAAGACACTCCAAACCAGAAATTGTGGAGAGTGTAAACAGTCTACATGGCTGACTTGGGTAAAAAGTCTTACATTGCCAAAGCAACCCGCATCTACTTTGGCTGTTTGTCTATTAAAATTCTACCCACTGTCCAAAGGGTTTCTCAAATATCACCCTGCTTGGAAGTGACTTCTTTTTCAAAGGTCAGTCATTTAAACTGCTTACATTATCATATTATTTCAGTAAGTGCAATATTATAGTCCTGCTGGTTTATCTGAAATAATAAATCCAAAAGCTTTAAGAAAGTGCTCAATAAATGTGTATATTTTCATTTATTTAGCTGTGTGTAATCTTTATTATTGCCAGTTACATGTAGATTGTAAATTCACTAACAACAGTAATTTATTTTTAATCTTTGTGTCCAAATTAGGCACTTGTTATGGGCTGAAGTGTGTTCTCCTCAAATTTATATGTTGAAATCCTAACCCCCAGTACCTCACAATGTACTGTATTTGGAGATAGAGCTTTAAAAGAGACAATTACATTAAGATGAGCCTTAATCCAATTTAGCTGGTGTCCTTAAAAGAAAAAAATGTGGATACAGGTAAAGAGGGAAGCTCACATAAAGACGCAGAAAGACGACACCACCTTATGAGCCAAGGAGAAAGATCTCAGAGAGTGAGCTACCTTGCCAGTACCTGAGCCCAGACTTCTAGTCTCTAGGCCTGTGAGAAAATAAACAGAAAATAAATAAATAAATAACTAAATAAATATCTGTGTTTAAGCCAAAGTCTATGGTACTTTGTTATTGCAGGTTTAGTAAACTAATAGAATGCTCAATATTTGGTTATCAGTAAAAGAAAAAAAAAGCCACCCCTCTTCCTGCATTAGATATCTTTCTTATTACAATAAAATGTTATACTAAATCTCTCTCATCACCCATCCATCACACTGCATTGTAATACCTCCTTAATTATTATTTTTTAGCGTGCATATTACATAGTATTTATTTTATCTGGTACAAATGACAGAAAATCTGATTCAAACAAGACCAAGCAAGATGGAAATTTA